GATCAATTTTTCTCAAAAATACCACAGTACTACATTTTCTGATCACCTATTAAAAAAAACATAATTCGTTTTTTCGGACACCCTGTGTTTTATGATGATGAAAATCAGTAAAGGTGATTATCAAGTGATCGTGATTCACAATCCATCATTGTTTTTTGTGGAGAAAAATCCCTAATAGTACTTTCTCAAATATGGGTCAATTAAGTTGGTCGCAGTTGGCCACGATCACAGTTCATGACTAAAATCACTCTCTTCTTGGATGGACATTTCGAATACCTATCCACCAAAAGAATGTTTTTCGAAATCGGTCATATAATAACAATTTTACAGGGGTGGCGAGTCCATAAGGTGGACACACTATATATAGAGTGTTTTGAAACCCCCGACAGATTATATAATTTTTTGTGTCGTGATTTAAAATACCACTTTAGCCCCTATGTGTATAATGTACTATTATATGCAGTTTGGAGATTTTGAACGGTACTTAAAATCACTAATTTCGGACAAAAAAGTGATTGAAAGTAATTTTTTTGCAATAAAAGCTCAATTTAGAAATTTATTTCCTAGAATTTTATCATAAATTTAACATGATATGGATGCAACATAAGTGTAACGTGTTCAGACCAATATCACACTATAAAAAATAACTCAATTTATATTTTTTCAACGTTTTACCTATCCTGAAATGTATGAAATAGTATATACACCTGGTGACCGTTGGTGGCTATACAATTTTTTCTCACGATTTAAAATACCACTTTAGACCCTATAGGTGTATAATGTGATATATGAAAATCTTTGAACAGGTCGCTTTCTATCTTCAAAAAATCAATCTACCACCTGTTGACCTCCTACCTCACAGGTTCCTTCTAAATTTTTGAATCGTACAAGGGGTCAAGCTCGGGGTAAAGTTACACCATGTTAGATAGGTGAAGAGGTATTTCAAATCTTGGTCTATTTTTATTGATTCGGTTGAACTATAACCACAAGAGAGCAACCGATAGATTTGAATTTATCGGAAATTTGGTTCCAATTATTGATACCTAATGGTTGGTACTGTTCAAATCAATACATTTTCCATTTTTCGAAAACAATCAACTCTTCCATTCTTTCAGAAATATAAATGATGCACCCTGTGAATATGGTTACGAACATGTTAGTGGGGAAGTAATGTGAAAGTTAAATACATATCATGTGATTAAATCAGATTTATTCAATGAATCATTGTATAATTTTGATGATTAAGAGTTTCTGATAGAACATGAACTTTTGGAAAATAATTTTTAGATTTCATTTCATAAAAATAGGTCTCTAGAAAGTTCCTAAACATGATTGATTCGTTTGGGAAATCTAGATCAAAAACATGAATAGTTTTGAAACAAATATCTACAGCTCTCAGAAAGCTATGGAACTTAAATTTTAAATCGTCAAAATAAACATATGTCAATATGTCAGTTATCGATAATATATCTTCTCCAATGCACATGATACATGAATAATGGCTGGATTGATTCTTTCTTCTGTTTCAAGAATAAAATGTGTTCTTCTATCTCTTGGTGCGTTTTTCCAAGGAATGAAAACGATTCCTGTGAATCCTTCATTGTAAACTTAACGACGTTTTTTCTCCTGTTTTCCCTTTCTTCACGACTTTATTCGTGGGAACAAAGTATCTATGAAGTCCATTGAAAATTGCAGCATGGCACTTATCTGTAAAACCATTCGAATATTTATTTGGTTCCAAAAGTATTGAGCGAAACACTCACTTTCACCATATGATAACTCATTATTGATAATTTCAGAAATTTTTTGGGAACAGACACTTCGCATCTCACTTTCTAATAATCTAATAATCATTCATTTATATAATTATATTGTATACAATTGTAAAATAAATGTAATTGGAATCTGTCAACATTTCATTAATAATTTTGGCCATTGAGTCTTTGCTGTTTCTGACAACATCACTGAAATAAGTTTTAATTTCTAACCACTGCTATAATATTACTTTTATCACATTACCTCTCACAAGCCATCTGGTTTCTGAAAGTTCTATGAAGTTTTGAAATTTCACATTTTCATTAATATTAATAAGATTGAAGATTGCTTTATATCCCTCACGTCTTTGGGTGCTTCTGGAAAACCAGTCGAAGATTTGCTTACATGAAAAATCCAATTCACCTGGTAATACACATTTCACAAGTATGAGTCTAGGAGCATCAGCCTTCAAAATGGTAAACACTGAATTGTTTTGCCCACATAGAACACTAGCACCATCAGTGCCAAGGCCTATAAGCATTTCAATTTCCAATCCTGCTTTCCTAATGTACTTTTTGATCACATCTGCCAAAGATATTGCAGTACCACTAATAATGTTAATGATTCCAAAATTATGTACATATTTTTGTCTGAATGAGACTGCAAAGTCTCAATTCCAGAAGATTTTATATTTTATTTTCAAACTCTTATCGTGTGTGTTCAATAGATATAATTCAATGTTCGTCGTGGCATATAGCCAGGAAAGTAGTTGTTTTCTATCGAATAAACTGAAAAAGAGTTGATATTATCATCACATAGAGAATGCGAATTCTCAATGTATTGCTTTATATAAATATATATCCATTTTTGTATGTTCATAATTCATCTGAGAATATTTCTTTTCACCAAAAAATTATTTACAAACTTATTTTTACCTCTACTGAAGAACCTGGAATGATACTTGAATCAATAAACATTTCAAGATGTACCTTATACATAAACAGAGGTACTTGTGAACAGAGACATCTGTTGACTCATCAATTATCAATGGATAATAGCTATCACCAATGTCTGCAACCAATTGTTCTTTTAGAGGTCGATTCTCATATAGCAGTGACGTGACAGTGCCGTGACCGGCACGTGATTTCACCGGCCGTAAAGTCACAGTGATTATTATTCAGCCTCGGCACTGCTGAAACACTGACCAAGTGTTTCAGCAGTGCCGAGGCAGTGTAGTTTATAGCCAAATGGAAATATTTTCAGATGAAGAACTTTTGCAGATCGCACTGGTTTTGGACGAAGAAATGGAAGAACAAGTAGGACAAGTAGAAAAACGACATTGGGTCCATCCACACTGAGAGAAAACTTGAGTTATCATAATTGGAAATCTGATAACCTTTATTACGATATCTGCAATAAATAGGGGACAGATGTGTTCATTTGCTACCATAGATGAAGTGAATTTTCAGGTGACTTGTAGTTATGGCAGCTTATTCAATTTGCAAACTTGTATAAAACACCGCTGCTGAATAACTACTACTTGTTCTAGTTTCTATGATAACACAGAATGTCGAATAGGAATTATTCCCATAAAATGTTGCAGTAACTCTCCACTCTACAGTGGTTATTAGACTATCGACATAAAACAGCATGTTTTTATTATTGGCACAACCATCTTGAGGTAACGCAGTAATACGTCTCATTTTATTATAGTTATCTGATATCTGCATGAAACCTGACATTTTGACATGCTATTGTAATATAGCTCATTTTCAACAGTTATCCCAATATTCTTCTACTCTAGTATATTCATCAGACAGTGGTAATAAGGTTATCTAATCAATATTATTATGAAACCGTGCTATGAATTACTGCAATGAAAATAAATATCCTATCCACACTATCACTTTTCATGATCCAAAGTTATTGTTTTCAAAAAAAAAATACGTTTAGTCTCTGAATTGAAATATTTGGGTATCTGTCGAAGTTTTTTGACATTACTCATTGATTTTTTCGGAGAAATATCATCTATATGCATTACTGACGAATTTATTAAGAAATGAGAAGTTAAATACTTATATCTCGACTTATATTTACCCTTCCTTCGGAGTTATGATGAGAATTTTCAATAATTCTTCCCTAACAGGAACCCAGATATTTTCATTCAGAATCTGATCGATCATTTTGTTTTTGAAATAAACCAATTTTAGGCCGTGAAAAGTGGGTATGGAGAATACTTTTTTTATTGCAATAATGCAATGCACGGTGTATTCCACAGATCGGTTCACAGCCAGCACTAAAACAAAACTTTGCTACATCACACACATTCACCTATAAGACACGGCTCTATCGATTCGGACGATCAAAATCATTGAACAATAATTGAACACGGGCACCCATGACCAAGAACAGCAATGAAATGAACGCGATCTGTATCTTTGTCAGCCCCAATACTGATGAAACAGTAGAGCGAAATGAGCCGAATTACGATTGTCGAATGATTGCCTAATAACCGTCATACATGTGAATTGCTAGAGTTATTCGTCAACGTACAATGCTAAAAACCCAAACAGCTATGATTATTGGGACAAACATTATCTGAATTCACCAATGAGCATAATTCACAAAACGAGCTATGTCAATAAAAAATCTAAATGGACTGGAATTTATAAAATTCTCATAATGTCATAACACACCTGCGTTATGATGGTAGCAAATGTCCATTCAAGGGTATTACAAATGATTTAAGAAATCGATTTTTATAATCACAGAATTGAGAGAATACTGTTGTAATAATAAAATGATCAGGAATAGGAGATTTCCTTATAATGGTTATTACAATCAGAGCTGGTAGATATTTTCAATATCCAGTTTCTCTCAGTGCAGCATGGAAAAAGAGAGGAACAGAAGGGGAATTTATAACATTATACAAGGAACTGGTGGACGATGCAACAAAATTTCATGAATACTTCAGAATGTCAGAATATTCGTTTAAATTATTATTGTGCAAGTTAGAAGTTCATTTGAAAAAGCATGACACACGCTGGAGAAAAGCTATCACAGCAAGGGAAAGGCTTGCTCTTTGTTTGAGGTAAGTGTTTGTTTTCAAGCTGATGTAGACCATGTAGACATTAATTGAAAGCAGTCAAAAAATGAAAACTGTTTTATTAGAAAAATGTTGTCAAACAAATGAAAAAAAAATAAATAAATCGTGATTCTCAAACTCAGGTGCTTCGTGAATATTGTTAATGAAACGTTCTGTAAAACTCCGTCATTGAGTTGGGTGCTGCAGTCTCCACAGTTTGATCAGCAGATGAGGTTGATTGATCCCATGAAGGCTGGTAGCTTCCTGCAGGAGACAGTTGTCCATTCGAACACATGACATTAGAACCCGTTGAGGCGGCACACTGTTGTCGGTTCAACATATTCAATTCGAATCTTTGGACAGTAGCAAAAATTTCACCTTTGGCGTGATGCCAGTCTTGTGGGGATGATTGTTTTAAAACTGGAGCTATTCCTATTGAAAAATCGTCAACAGGATGACGCGTTGGTGCTGGGCAGTTTGTAGTTTTATTTCGTTCAACAATATACTCCATAACTGTAGCGGCTGCCGTTTTGGGGGGAGCAGTAGGCTTTGACAGCTTTCGAGTTTTTCGTGGAATGGTATCTGTTGTTGTTAATGTCAACAAATTTTGACTTTCTGATTGTTTAGTCATGGCATCGTTAACTGCTGATGCTGTAGAGTCCTCCGCTTCCTTATGTTGGTCGTCAATTTCGGATACCTCTTCACGTTCTGTTTCACCTGTGACATCTTCGATATTCACTTCGGACTCAATGTTTGTCGTGGTCTCCCTCTCCTCAAAGAATTTCGTCAAGAAGCTCAACTGCTCTGAATATTTATACGGCTTCACCTTTGTTGCTTTTTGACCACTCTTAGTTTTTTGTTTATTTAACGATTTTCTGAAGTTGTCCCTAATATTGGCCCACCGAGTTTTACATACAGAACCTAAAAGAAAAATAACGCATGAGGCTTACTTTTATCATAAACAAAATATAAAACAAAAAATGTCTCATCTCTACTGTATTTTTTTCAGATATTTGGCCACTGGAGATGCAGTGAACACAATTTCGTTCAGCTATCGTCTAGGACACAGTACAGTTCACAAAATTGTACGAGACACCTGCCAGGTTATTACTACACATCTAATGAAAGAAATGATGCCTACTCCGACAGAGGAAATGTGGATGAAAATCGCTCCTGATTTTTATAAAATGTGGAATTTTCCTAATTGTATAAGAGCTATCGATGGCAAGCACATTGTTATTCAAGCTCCTCCTAACTCCGGATCAATGTTTTTTAATCACAAAAAAACATTTTCTATAATTTTATTAGCTCTTGTAGATGCTCATTGTAATTTTATTACTGTCGATGTAGGGGCATATGGAAAGGATAGTGATGGGGGAGTATTTGCCAAATCACAGATAGGAAAAGAACTTCAGCAAGAAAATTTGAATATACCAGCAAGATCTACCATTCCTAATACAGATATCCCGGTGCCCTACGTTATTGTAGGTGACGAAGCTTTTCCTCTAAAAACGTACTTGATGCGACCATATCCAGGGGATAATCTAAATGATCGAAAGCGTAACTTCAACTATCGTTTGTGTCGTGCCAGGAGGATATCAGAAAACACTTTCGGTATTTTGGTTCAAAAATTCAGGGTTTACAATAGACGAATTCAGGCCTTTCCAAAATACGTAGGTAACATAATTTTGAGCACCTGCTTGCTGCACAATTTCATCAAAAAATACGACCGCCATACGTACAATTACGTTACATCGCAGGTGGATTTGAGGGGCGAGAATCGCCCAATACAAAATTTACAGTTGCAAGGAGGAAATGCAACGACAGCTGCATTTGAAGTACGAGAAACATTCACTGACTTTTTCAATTCTGATGCTATATCTCTCCCATGGTAACCAAATATCCAACAAAATTAGAAAATAATATACTAAGGTTCTCAATATTATTATAACCTAATATTTTCATTAGTAATAAAAATGAACTAAAATACAGATTGTTCCTTCACAGAATGAACATGTGATATAAAAATATTTGACCACAAAATATTTGATATTTAACTTGCATATTGGCGACTCGTGTTCATTCTGGTCAGATAGTTATGTTTTTTACTCACCTTCTAATTGCATTTCTGCTCCTACTTTCCTCCAGATAGCATTCTTGAAATCAGAGTCCATGTATTTTGAGTTGTACATGTCGTACAAGACAGAATAACCACGTACCAATTCAATAAGTTTCTCGTCATTCATAATTATATGCAAAATACAAAATTTGTACGACCGTGAAACTGAAGAAATATCGTCGGGAACTAATATAACGATCACGTTACGGTATCGGTGACAGCACTGTTTGCACTGTCACGGTACTGCGTCGGGCAGATGTGAATAGGTTCCATCAAATGCATACGAGAATAATTTTGATCTCGCCGGTGAAATCACGTGCCGGTAACGGCACTGTCACGTCACTGCTATATGAGAATCGACCTTAGTGCTGCTCCAATAACATTTGGAATTAACATGCTGCATTTCGTCCTATTTATTTTAATGTCTGATGAACCAGGAACTGATTTCACAGGCCTGAATTCTTTCTGAAGCAAATTTGATAAATGATCTACTGCTTTAATGCTCGAGTGTACTGCAATAAAGGTAGCTATAATCAGTTCACTCCTCTTGGTATCATTTGATATAATTTTAATATTTGTTAATGTTATCTGACTTCCTCCTGGATGGGTCTTGGAATAATTCAATTTATGCTCTGGTTTTTTTGAATGATTCATCAAATCCGTTCTATGTGCTCTTAAAGAAATCTTGCAAACAGAACAATAAGCTCGACTTGGATCTTCCAAATCCTGTTGAAGCCATCCTACAAGAATGTAGTGACTCAGTTGTTTGCAAATTTTTCACCTTTGAAAACTGGCAATTCCTGCCATCGTTTCCTATAAGTTTTTTTGTATTTGGAGCTTATTTCAGCACTATTTTTAATAAAGCGAAAATCTGGAGATGTGAATTGACAATAACAATCATAGAACACATCTCACAAGGGTTTGTTCTATGATGACAATTGACAATACAAGTCAATAGTCATGAAACAATGTCTCCTATGATGGAAGTCTAGTACCTCTGTCACAAGTCAACTATAACGGTTAACCGGAAATATACTGGTAACCGAGGTTATAGTTGAGTGGTAAATAAATGCATGATTCCCGATTCAAAATAGTTATTTCCTCATGAGCAGAATAAACCGCGCAAAATAGCCGAAGAGGCTGGCTAATATCGCCCAAAAAGTAGCCCATAGTCGAATCGCAAATATAACCGCCTCTGGAAAAAATTAATTGCCCGAATGGCGATTAATCGCCTTAGTTGGCAACCCTGGTTATAAACCCATGCTCTTCTTAGATAGAATGCCGCACCGATAGTCAAACTTGGGACGTGCATAGCTTGCTATGGAGATCAAAGCTTATAACCATCGTATCACCTGTAGCCTCAGCCTCTCCTGTATCCCTATTCATTCGGTCTTGCATGGCTTGAGCACGTCTGTGATGAATCTTTGAATCGATTCTCAACTGGTTTGCACCTTCCATGTCAGTTCCGTTGCGTATTTTGATATTCAATGAATCACAAACTTTGCAAGTATCGCTTTTTGGTAGTTTGAAACCTAGATAATATTCTGAACAAAATATTCTCCTATACTTGTCTTCGGAGACTGGCACAATATTGTTTGTTTGACACCATTCGAGATAGTAAACTCTATATAAACTGAAAATGGAGAGATCTAAATCGAGGTAGACCTTGTTTGGATTCTTAACCCTACTAAAATGACTTGCCTGTGTATTATGGTATTGAATTGATATGCTTTCTAAAATTTTTTCACTGTTCTTCCTCTTTGATCATACTTTGAAGTGGAAGCACCTGATTTAATTTGATTGATCAATCGTTCAATTCGCCGTTTATAGAAATGCAGATAGCTAGAAACTTCCGTTTACAAATTTCAACTCCATTTCCATTTCTTATTTTCATTCGACTTAGTATATCGGACTGATATGTTTCTAGATGAATTTTCTCGTTTTGTTTTCTTTGGTTAATCTCTTTTCTTCGGAATAACTTTCACACTTGAGAACAAGTAGATATTTTATTTATCGTAATCACCGAGGTCCCAAAATGCATTAAATATGTCTTTTTCATTGCCCGCCAAGAGTTTCCTGCATTGTTTAGAACAATCACAGAGTGGGCCTATTTTTCTTGGAGCTATTTCAACTTCTTTTGTGTTGATATAACTGTGGCCCACATTCCTTTTGGTCGGGCGTTTGATCTTTTCACGTCGAGGGAAATTTTTTTTTAGCTATCTGCTAGCCGCTGCTTCCTCTGGAGTTGCAAGGGCACCTCGAGAAGTTTCTGGTGGCAAGTTACTGTCCTGAAATGATGATTTGCATCGAAAGGAGATATGCCACCATATGTGATGAAAACTGATCAAAGTACATGATTCTCATTTAATTTCAAAACTAAATCTTATTATATTTGGAAAATTCAAACAAAGATTTAATAGTGTGTGGAAAAAGTAGTGATTATATTTAAATATCAGAAAGTAAACATCCAAAACGAACACCAGAAATGACAGGGAAAAAAATGTAACATATTGTTGCAAGCCACATATTTCACGAACTCACCATTTCCATATCTGTACCTTCGGATTCGCCGTTATTTTCAGAATCGCATAGTTTTTATCACCTTCACTTTTATTCATGAAAGGATCTGGTTCACTATCTTCATCACAAAACTGGGAAAAGTCTAATATTCTCTTACAAACACGTAGATGCTCCGACGCCATGTTGATTTCAACAGTGGCTTGCCCCTATTTGAAGCAAAATATAATGAAGTTGCCAAAACGGGATCTTATGATAGAAGTGCCATCTATCATCTAGGAGCTGCACTTGGCTATTAGGATATCAATGATGGAGTACAATGTGCATTAGTTTAGTAATCTCATTTCTTACAGAATTGGGGCTTATCCCCGTCCGGTCCCAAGGTCTTCAATTATGTAGTCTCATTATCTACGAGGATTATAGAAAATGTTGGAATATTTTGGTTTCTGATAATAGTGTTTTTTAGTGACTGAGTAAATAATATATCTATTAATTGCGCAATTTGATTGCTAATCCACCTGGTTCTTGTCTTTGTTCCAAAAGTTGTTTCATATCACCGTATATCTGGCCCTGAATGAAAAAATTTTGCATTTATTATTGAATTTCAAAAAACCAGATAAATAAACTGCTCCACATTTGAAGTGAGACAAGCGAACATTTTGTTTGTTTTCGAACCGTGATAACTTTGGATGAGATCAACCGATCCTTGATTGGTTTTGAGATTGTGATTGCCCAGTTGATTGGCTATAACATATTTTTTTTACGTTTCTCCACCATTTCAGAATTATGAACTACAGGATGATATCTGAAAGTGTGATAATTTCCGAAAAGTTTGAGGTCGCCCCGTTAGCAGGATAATTTTCTGACGGCAAAAACATGAACCCTTATGTGTTTCCTCGAAATGGTTTCGGATTCATCAAGATCCATACAGGATGTTTTGAGATATGCAATATCATGGATTAGCAAAAGTGATTTCGTGATTGAACGAAAAACCTTCAGGGTTAGTTCGCAGGGAGGAATAAAGTGAATGTGGAGTATGGTTATTTTATGAATAAAATTGTCAAAGCTAGGATGTTTTTTTTCAGTGGATATAGAGAATGAGAATTGATGAACATATACCACGAAGAGAATACAGATAATACGTAACACAATATTTTTTTAATAAAGAAAAATTAACAACGGCAGATGTGGTCGATTATCAATATTTTGTTACACCACCCCTGGCCGCTGCGAGAGCCCCAACTCTTCTCGGCATACTTGTTATCAAGCCATCAATGAAATCTTGGGGAATAGCTGTCCATTCTTCCACTATCGCATCTTTCAGTTGTTGAATATTCATCATTTCACCTTCTCTTCTCTTCAAACATAATTTTAACCTAGCCCATACATGTTCTATTGGGTTCATGTCTGGAGATACGGGTGGCCATTCCATTCTTTCAATATTATGTTGTCTCAGAACTTCGGTTACAATTCTCGCACGATGTGGTCGTGCATTATCATCGACCAGTACGAAATTGTCTCCAAAGTTTTGAGCAACTGGTATAACAACATCTCTTATACACATGTCACGATATCGAACAGCATTCATACTTTCCCTCAAAATAACCAACGTGGTGCGATGATTCATCATGATACCGCCCCATATCGTAACACCCCCACCCCCAAATGCCACCCGCGCCTCCATGTTTTCCTCCAGAAACCTCTCACCCCGTTCTCGCCATACTAAAATCCTTCCATCTGATCTGAACATATTACACCTACTCTCATCAACGAATAAACATCTCCTCCAATCAGCTATTCCCCAGTTCAAATGGTTCTGAGCCCAAAGTCTTCGAGCTATCCTGTGGTTCAGCTTTAACAAAGTACAAGATGCCTTCCTTCTCGCTCTCAGATTGCGCTCATGAAGCCTTCTTCTGATTGTCTCATCTGAGACAACAACTCCTGTTGCATTTCTTAGTGCACAGTTCAGTTGTCCAGCAGTCTGTGTTCGAAGACGACGTACCGAAGTAACTAAGAAATTATCATTTCTATCTGAAGTCTTCCGTTGTCGTCCACCTCCGTGACGATAATTAGGATCTCCTGTTCGATCGTGACGACGTATTGCCCTGTATATAGAAGCTCTTGATGTATCGAAATACTGTCCAATGTCTTTAACATTCAAACCACCATCTCTCATTCTGAGAACCATTTGTAATTGTACATTAGTTAGTCGTGGCATATTTTATTACAATAATCAAATTTTTGACAATTTCTGATTATTTCCCAGACAACATATTATACCGAGGGGTTAACCAATGAATTTAAGGTATTCGAAAAATTCGAATAGCCATTATGTTGTTCAAAATTGCATATCTCAAAACATCCTGTATGGATCTTGATGAATCCGAAATCATTTCGAGAGGAAACACATTAGGCTTCATGTTTTTGCCGTCAGAAAAATTTAAAGAAAATTATCCTGCTAACGGGGCGACCTCAAACTTTCCGGAAAGTATCACACTTTCAGATATCATCCTGTAGGTCATAATTCCGAAATGGTGGAGAAACGTAAAAAAAATAATATGTTATAGCCAATCAACTGGGCAATCACAATCTCAAAACTAATCAAAGATCGGTTGATCTTATCCAAAGTTATCACGGTTCGAAAACAAACAAAATGTTCGCTTGTCTCACTTCAAATGTGGAGCAGTTTATATAATGACTTGAGAATGCTGTAACATATCCAAAAAGTCGTTGTTTTCAAAAAGGCGTGTTTCTTTGTGACATTCTGCAAATAAAGTTCACATGAACATTTGAATATTTGTTCGGTAGGGGTTGCGGGGATTTTTTCGATATATACCTACCTAATTTGGAATATTCTACAAAAACTCTGACATAGGCGCGTTACTTTTTTTTGTTAGTGGGTAGTTTGCCGGTAGCCCTATCATCCCACACCAATATGCTACGATCCGTTGAGACAAAAATGAGGCTGAATACCTCATCTCTGCAAAAGGTCTCCTCTCTTCCCTCACAGCCTTACCCTTCCTCCATTAAAAAAATATACCTACCTAGCCTTCCTAAAGAATTCCGCAGTTTGAAAAATATTCTCTAAATATTGACGATTTTCAATTGACAAACATTATTACTTTTATAAATGAATCTTCACTGATGGAAAAACAAAAATGAGGCTGAATACCTAATCTCTACAAAAGGCCTCCTCTCTCCTCTCCCAGCCTCACCCGTCCTCCATTTAAAAATATACCTAGACTTCCCAAAGAAATCCGCGTTATTTAAAAAAATTTACTCCTAATATTTGCTGCACAATTGACAAATATTATCATTTATAAAGTCCCCACTGATGGCAATACACTCAATGTGAACAAATCTTTCACAATAACCGCAATATCTTGATTTATTATGATCACCGATTCGCGAACATATTATATTCATCAGATTTATTAGGATCAAAGTTTTAATTCATTTTCTATATTGTTCCATATTCGTAAATTCGGTCATGTCACTCTTACTTACGATACACTCGAAAAATTTTATACAAAACATTCCGCAATTGAAATCATCTTTCTGTTTAGCGTGTTTATACACATGCACCTTCAAATCCTTTTTAATTGATACATTATGTACTTGATTGTAAGCTACTACGAATTTGTTGAATAATTTAAGATGTTTTCTTATGTTTTCCGCGTTACTATTGAATGAATCCATAAACGCTAAATCTTTGGATATCGTGACAACGTAATCCCTGTTACTTTCTGTATAATTTTCAATATCGTTCACTAGCTCATTGGACATCTTAATTCTTTGACAGGTCTCCATCTACGCGTGATGTCATCAATATTAACGAAATTGAGCAAAGTGATAATTATGATAAAAAAACTCTTTCAATTTATTCAACATTGAATTTAAAAAAAAATTTGGGGTTTCTTTCAATCCTCTCAATTAGTTGTATACCTTTGAAGTTATAAACTACAAATTCGCATCACGGTCTATTTGTTATTTCTAGTAAGCTCTGTATTTGATAATAATGAACTGAATTAACTTTTAATTTCCCGTCTCTACCGATATATTGGAGTCCCCTTAAAGTTTCATGTCGTTCAGAATCCCGCACTTTGAAAGGACATTTAGTTTCGATAATCCCGTCATCATCCAGAAGTCCATCTGGAGAACCCCCTAGTAATGAAAAATTTTGATGGATAACTAGACCGCGCTGACTTTTCATGATCGATACTGTGTTTTATGGCTTCGTTAACGAAATGTTTAGGCGATATAAATGATTTCGCGAGTTTTAATTTTCCTTCATAATCTCTTGCCTTGCAGATCGACCCGAAATTTGACGCGGTTATTCTTTTCCTCCTTTCTTCGAACCACATAGAGGACTCCCGTTGATCTTTAGTATTATGTTCAATTAAATTCTTTCTGACACTTTCTTTGTCTAACCTACGCAATGCCTCCTCGCATTCTGATTTCAAACCGTTCGAACATTTATTACAATAAAAATCACCGCTGTAAGATCGATTTTGACTATCGCAAATTTGATGGATCATTCCTTCACAATCGTAAGCTACCCAAGCAACAGTACTATCGAGATCACCAAAACCGCAATACTGTAAGGTTCTGAATATAGATGAAAGTGGTTTATTAAGTATAACTATTTATTCAAAATCAATCAATATGACAATCACTGTCAATACCCTTTTTGTCCCACTATAGGGTGTATCCACAACTCATAATTATCAACAATATTATACAATATTATCATATCAGATCATCTCCCCTTTTTACTTTGGATAATATCCCATTCTCCACTATCCCTCCGGGGACGGGGAGTAAAAATCTCCGATTTCTTCTAAGCACTCTTCCGCTTGGTAATTTAACTGTATAGCTTCTGTATCTACCTATCTGTGTTACTACTCCTATAGTCTGTATCATAACTTAGTCCTCGGATTTTGTATTCTCACCGTATTTCCTAACGAAATTTGAGGTAAATCCTTAGCGTGCTGGCTATAGATGTCTTTCTGATACCTCAACTGAGTCATTGCTTTCTTCTCGCACAAACCTGCACTAAGTTGCCACTGAGGAGAAAACGACTTTCTATGAGCGGGCACTAAAGATCTCAATTGATGACTATAAAGTATTTGGGCAGGCGAGCGACCATTAGCTTTAGGTGTATTTCTCCATTCCAACAGCCCCAAACAAAACTTGTCGTTATTTAATTGCCCATTTTCACTACATTTCGTGATTAGCGACTTTATGGATTTGACCCCTGCTTCTCCATGACCATTACTCTGAGCATAATATGGCGGAGATGGGGCATGAAAAATCTTCCAGTTTTTAAGGAATGTTTGGAATTCGTAGGAGCTGAAGGGCATATTATCTGATCAAAGTCGTAAGGGTACACCTGTGTCTGTGAAAATTGTTTTCAAATCTTCAATGAGCTTCGAGCTATTTGGATCTCTATTACCATAGTGACACACAATTGGCCAACCAGACAAACGGTCAACATATACCATATAATTTTGCATTTTGAATTATTGTTTCCTTCTGGAGAGATGGTCGGCAAGTTTGACATAATTCACAACATTCCACCAAATTTTTAATATCGTTAGACATAGAAGGCCAATATACTATTTGACGGGCTCGACGTTTAGTTCTCTCCACACCTTGATGAGAATCATGAAGTCTTTGCAAAACTAATTTTCTTATGGTTTTTGGAATAAGGATCTGACAACCTTTGAGTATTAGCTCATCTTCCACGCCTAATTCATCTTTCACGCTCCAATAAGGCGTGAGGCAACTTTCAATATATCTTTTCGAATCTGGAAATCCACGTTTAATATGGTCAATTAGTAATTGATATTCTGGATCTTCTGGTCTGTTGGATGGCTAGGAAGTTTTTTAGTATTCACAGAACTTAAAGGATGTGATAGTTCTGGAAGCGGTTTTGGGAAATCATCATGAATAATTCTCAACTTTATCAGAGAATGTCTACTTAGCAATAATTCTTTAACCTTCCTGCATATATAAATTGTTAGGTGGGTTTCGTGATTTCCGTATTTCATCTTACAATTCAGGTCTTTTACACCAGTCAAAACCATTGATGTGTTTGTGACATGCTTATCAGTTATTGTTTAGCTAGTGGTCACATCCACATTCCCAAACACAGTTGGGCTACCTAAAGCAGCTGCAATGAGTGCAACCATCTTGTAGCCTGCTTCCATGTAACTTAGCATTAGATAATACTAAGCGACGTTGTGGGTGAAACTCAAGGCTTCCCTATTGGTGATCACATCGTCGTGAGTCTGTGAACCCATTAGCATGTTAGGTATGCCCTCTGCACCAGAAGGCCATTCATCTTTTGCAGACAAACCCCTAGTCATTATGGTGGATACAAGAATGACCAGTGTATCTCCTAACAACTTGGCAGGGTTATCCATGTTTTCCACAGTTTTGAATTCTTGAATTGGGTCCATTGCTGGAATATTTGCTACGTTTGCAAAGTACTCAGGTAGATCCTTTGATGTGGTAGCATAATTCCACGAGATGCGTGAGCCAACACAAATTCTTTTAATTTGTGGTGATAATGTGTCACCTTGGGTTAAACCAAAGACACCTAAAAAGAATGTCTCTACTTCTTGGCTAAGAAAACTTGAGTTCACTGCTGCGGAGGTATAAGTCTCTACATCCCTAACTGTACCACTTAACTGTTTAGGGTTCTTTCTTGACAATTTCATGTCTAACATGAAGTGATAGACTTTACAATAGTCTATTAACTCAGCACTGTCCCCCGCCTGAGGAACCAACCCGACAAACATGTTAGTTAGCATGAGTCTTGGCAATTGTTGTCCAGCTGTCTTTTCTATCACTGATTCATCAATGTATGTCTTGCCGACTCCTTGAGACAGGAAGTAACAGACAATATGAGGGAAGCAACTAGCTAGTCTTGCTATGGTTGGGGTATTTCTTCCCAGAGGAGCACTGCCCTTCTTCCTGCTATAGGTCTTATACGCATTGAATATGAAGTTTAATGGCTTTACCCATTGCTTTTGGATCTTCTCCAATGCTTTCTTGGCAGCTGTTCCTCTCATCACGAGGAAAAAGATGTGCAAGACCAAATAATGCTGATTGATATTTTTTGAACTTATAGTCATTATTGTTTTTGACTCAGTCTCCTCATCTGCATAAATAACCCATGTTTCATCAACAGTGATAGCTGATCCTCTCCTGAAGAATTCTTTTAATACTTGCTCAGGAGAGAAGCCGGTGTACTCAAGCGTTTCAGCAAGAAACTTTATGCTGATTTTGAAGGATTCGTCAGTTCTTGTCCTGAAAATGTCCTGGACAAAGTCCGCAGTATTCTTATTTTCTTTTCAACTTTGCAGCTATCTCATTCGACAGGTCATACAAAGTATTGCGCTGATTAAAACTCAAATCCAAGAGATCAACACATAAGTTCGACATATTCTTCGATCATTAAACTGACTAGATGAGTAACCCATAGCCATGGCAATACAGTTTGTTTGTAAGCAACATCTAAAGCGTTCTAAAGTGACCATTTCATTCTAAAAAAGGATAGCAAGCGTTGATTCTCCCAGCGCCAGTGCCGTGTTGTGATAGAGGGGTTGAATTCATTATAAATTCAGAATTTGAAAATCTATTACAAAAATTCATTGGAACTTCTATAATCTTGAGGAAATAAAAATCATTTTTCGAGAAAATTTATTTATTACAATGTGCCAACAAATATAATAGATGCAATACTTTTATCAAAACTTCACATTATAAATTGCAATAAAAATGGTATTTTTGCGATTTGCTTGTAATTGTGAAACTTACAACCACGCCACAAAAAGTTGCATATCGTCGGTTTGAGATGCAAATCGCCAAAGTACATTTTTGACCGAAAATAACATTTTAACCGCTCTATTGAAAGATGACTG